CTTTTCTAGATCCTTATTCACATCAGGAAGTGAGAAGTATGGTCTTTAAAAGGGGCTGCTCAGACACCAATGGTGCTGCCAAATCCCACTGCTGCTTCAATCTGGCAAGAATACAACCTTATAGCCCATAGGGTTATACCTGTGTAGAGAATTGTGACTATAGCTCCCAATGTATTTGCACCTGCTGCTTTGTCACTAGCCTATCACTCTCTAGTGGTCATCTCTGACTTTGAAGTAAGTAAAAATGGCAAAATGTTGTGAGTGATATCTTTTGACTTACTCATATACTGGACTGAAATGAGGCATCATTGCACTTAGGCCTCCCTCTCTCTTCCAGAGTCATCAAAGTCCAGTGGCAAGATAAAAGTCAAGGCGACTGGTGATGGCTCAGGATGCAGTGAATGACTTGGTATCTTCACTGTCTGATGAACTAAGTGCTCCACAGCACCTATTTTGGCAACCTTCATGGCCCATTGGAACAAACTGTTCACATACACCTATTCCACCAGGGAAGTCTTCATGTGCTTCCCCTAAGTTACAGATGGCAGATTTCTAGTATCAAAAAAATTTTTAAAGTATCCACAACAAATGAAGAAATAAAAGAAATTATTAGAAAATATTTTGTCTAATTATGTGCCAAAATTATTAACAAATGAAATTATTTAATATTTTGAAAAATAAAATACCTGGTTGGGTTTTTTTTAACATTATCTAGGGATCAGTGCAAACATATAAGAATAAGAGCCATTTCTCAATAAAGGTCAACAGATATGAACAGATAGTTCTCAAAGTAAGAAAGGCAAGCTATCAATAACCATGTGAAATATGTTTCATATCACTAATAATAAGAAATACATACATTAAAACAACTCAAAGTTTCTATCTCATGCCTATCAGGTGGCAAAGATGACCAAAAAAGAAAAATTACAGTTGTTGGAGGGGCTATGAGAGGACAGGCACGCTATTGTACTGTTGCTAAAATTATGGTGTGGTCCAGACATTCTAGAAAATAAAAATTCACTAACCTGTGGATCAGTGGAATAGGTTAGGTATGCAAGATCCAGTAGTCAATGACTACAGTAATCTACTATTTGATAAACCCAAAGACACCAGCTTCTGGGATAAGACCTTACTATTTGACAAAAACTGCTGAGAAAACTGGAAAAGAGTATGGCAGAAACTAGGCACAGACCAAAATCTCACACCATATACCAAAATAAAGTCAAACTGGGTTCATGATTTAGATATAAAGGCTGATGCTATAAGCAAAATGGGAGAGCAAGGAATAGTTTACCTATCAGATTTATGGAGAATAGAAGAATTCATGATCAAACAGGAGATAGAGAACATTATGAAATGCAAAATGGATAATTTTGATTACCTTAAATTAAAAAGCTTTGCACAAACAAAGCCAATGCAACCAAGATTAGAAGGAAAGTAGAAAACTGGGAAAGAATTTTTACAACTAAAGAAAATAACTGCTTAAAGAATACAATTGGCCAAATGGAAAAGAAAGTACAAAAGCCAGTTGAGGAAAACAACACCTTAAAATTTAAAATTGGCAAGTGGAAGCTAAGGAGTCTATGAAATGTCAAAAATCAAGCAAACAAATTCAAAAGAATGAAAAGATGGAAGAAAATGTAAAATACCTCAGGGGAAAAACAACTGACCTGGAAAATAGATCCAGGAGAGACAATATCAGAATCATTGGGCTCCCTGAAAGCCATAATCAAAAGGAAGGCCTGGACCAAGAAATTATCAAGGAAAACTGCCCTGATGTCCTGGAACCAGAGGGCAAAATAGGCACTGAAAGAATCCACTGATCATTCAGGAAAGAGATCCCAAATTCAAATATCGGGAAGTCACAATCAAGATAACACAGGACTTGGCAGCTGCAACATTAAAGGACCTGAGATCATGGAACATGATATTCCAGAGGGCAAAGGAGCTAGAACTATAACCAAGAATCACTTACCTGACAAAATTAAGCGTAATATATCGAGAGAAATATGGTCATATGATGAAATAGGATTTCAAGCTTTTGTAAGAAGACCAGAATGAAACAATTTTATCTCCAATATCAAGACCCAAGAGAAGCCTAAAAATGAAAAAAGGGAAAAGAAAATACAAAGAATTCAATGGAGCTGAACTGTTTACATCCCTACAGGGGAAGATGATACTTGTAACTCTTAAAAATTGTATCACTAACAGTACAGATAAAAGGAATAAACATAGACATAGGGTACAGGTATAAGGTGTATTTGAGGGAATGACATAAAAAAAAATAATAAGGGATGAGAAGGAGGAGGAAAATGGGCACAGAAGGAAGGGAGAGGTAGAATGGGATAAATTATCTCACATGAAGAGGTGAGAAAGACTACAATGAAGGAGAAGATGGGGAGGGCATGGGCATTGCTTAAATCCTACTATCATCAGTACTGGCTCAAAGAGGGAATAATATACACAGTCAGATGAATATAGAAATCTATCTTACCCAGCAGGGAAGTTGGAGGGAAGGAGATTAAATTGGGCAGGGGGGAGCATGATAGAAGGGAGGGCAAATCAGAAGAGGTGGTAGACAGAAGCAAAATACTGGTGAGGAGGGAAATGGTGAAAGGAGACAGAGAACAGATAGGAGGAAGAATAGGAAGAAGGGAAATACACAGGTAGTAATCATAATGGTGAATGTGAATAGGATGAACTCTCCTAGGAAACAGAAGCAGATAGCAAAGTGGATCAAAAAACAGTATCCTATAATATATTGCTTACAAGAAACACATTTGAAGCAGAGACACACACAAAAAGTAAAGGAAAACCTGGAAAGACTTGTATGAACCGATGCAAAGTAAAAGGAGCAAAACCAGGAAAATATAGTACATAGTATCAGCAACATCTTGTGGTGATCAACTACAAATGACTCATCTTTTCTCAGCAACAATGATCCAAGACAAATACAAAGGATGAATGAAGGAAAATGCTATCCATATCCAGATAAAGAACTGATGGACTCTGAATGCAGATCGAAGCATATTTTTTTACTTACTTTATTCTTTGTTTGTTTTTTTTTTACTTTTGATCTGTTTCTTCCACGACTGTGATGAATATGGAAATGTGTTTTACATGATGGCATATACATAAACTATATTAAACTGCTTACCATTTTCAGGAGAAAGGAGGGGAGGGGGGGAAATTTGGAACTCAAAATCTTATAAAAATGAGTGCTAAAAATTTTCTTGATTAGTAATTGTAGGGAAAATACTATTTAAAGCAAAATAATTGCTAAAAATAAATATTTTTTTTATTTAAAAAAAAGTTCAGAAGAGGACACAGAGAAGTGAGATATTTTTGGAACTACTCTAGTACAGGCCCTCACCACCTCACGCCTGTACTTTTGCAATAATCTGTTCTTGGGACTGCCTGCCACAAGTCTCTCCCTACTCAAATCCATCCTCCATTAAGACACTAAAGTGATTTTCCTAAAGCACAGGTCTGATCATGTCACCATCTACTCTAAATAAACTCCAGTGGTTTCTTATTGTTTCCAAGATCACATACAAAATGTGTTTGGCATTCAAAGCCTTTCATAGCCTAGCCCCCTCCTACCTTTCCAATTAGTGTATTCCTTACTACTGACTTCAATGCAGTACATCGGCCTTCTGGCTGTTCCATGAATGAAATACTCCATCTCTCAGCTCTGGGCACTTTCTTTGCCTGTCGCCCTATGTGGAATTCTCTCCCCACTCATCTCCACCTACTGGTTTCCTCAGTTTCCTTTGTTGTTTTTTGTTGTTATTGTTGTTTTTGCTGCTGCTGTTGTTGTTGTTCAGTCATTTACAATCATCCCTCAGGATCCTAGTAAGTGTCTGAGGCCAGATTTCACTCAGGAAGATAAGTATTCCTTACTTCAGGCCTGGCGCTCTATCCACTATGCCACCCAGCTTCCTTTGAGTCCCAACTAAAATACCATCTTCTACAATGCTTTTCCTCTTTTAATTATTTCCTATCTATCCTGTATATAGCTTGTTTGTACATATGTATTTGTTTGTTTTCTCCACTAGACTGTGAGCTCCTTGAGGGCAGAGACTGTCATTTGCCTCTTTTTTGTATTCCCAGTGCTTAGCACAGATCCTAGAATATAATAGGCACTTAGCAAATGTTTAATGATTGACTGACTAGAAGTTCCACATCAAATTTTAAATACCTAAATAAAAATGATCAGCACCTAGTAAAGATTCACATGTAGTCCTCTTTATGTAGTTTGTGTATAGAAATATTCATGTTTACTTACATTTGACAGATTTTTAACAGTAAAATTTTTTTTTAATTTCTTTAAAACCTGAAAAGTCTTACATGAACCAATGCAAAGTGAAATGGGCAGAACCAGGAGAACATTATACATGGTAACAGAAACACTGTACAATGATCAACTGTAAGTGACAGCTATTCTCAGCAATACAACGATCTAAGACAATTCTGAAGGATTTATGATGAAAAATAATATTCCTCCTTGGAGAATGAACTGATGGAGTCTGAATGCAAGTTGAAGCATGCTTTTTTATTTTCTTTTTCTTGGGGTTTTTTTTGGTCTCAGTTTTCTTTCACAACATGACTAATAAGGAAATACATTTGCATGATTGCAACACGTATAACCTGTATCAAACTGTTTGCCTTCCCAAGAAAGAAAAAGAATTTGGAACTCAGAATTTTAAAAAATGAACGCTAAAAATTGTTTTTACATGTACTTGTGCAAAAATAAAATATTAAATAAACATTAAAAAATAAAAATAAAAGATTTCATTTAAACTCCAACTGTGTAGAGTAATGGGAAAGGGAGTAGAAGCCATAGTGACCTGATTTCCCCAGGATTCATATGACCAAAGTAGATCAAATACAACAGGAGAGGTAGAATATACATCAAAGTTCTCCCCTTTGCCACAATTTTAGCTACAAAATTATCAAACAGATCTTTGAAAGGTAGAGTAGTTGAATATAGTACTTACTTAAGGTTATACAGTGTCAGAGAAAAGCAGAGCAAGGCTTGGAAGACAGAAGAGTGTGATGCAGACTGGGGTAGGTAAGACAAGTTGGAGTCTGACATAAAAGGCTTCGTTCCATGAATCAGGCTACAGGAAAGAGAGGGGCAAAGTGTGAATTAATTACATTAGGAATTTGTGCAGACCTGCAAGTAGTCTGCTTAGTTAGAGGAATCATGCAGAGGGAATGGAGCTGGGGTGACTGGTCATCAATCAAACCATTTTATAGATTCTGATAAGCAGAAAGCAGCTAATGCAATTGCAGGTACAGGCTAAGTGAAGATGGGAATAGTGCAGCAGTCTTTCCACAGGTAGGGGCTCTGGCATTTTCCACCCTTGTGTTTTCCTTATTATGAGGAAGGGGTACTAAAGACTTAATATACCATAATAGGGTGGACTGGGTGACAATGGAACATTCTAGACTGAGTCTAGGCTTATCTCCCTGATTTATTGGATGTGCTTATTCTACTTTCCTAGTCCCAAGGGAATGCTGTCCTTAAAACCAGACAAGAAGAACTTACACATAATCAAAGACGAGTTTTGGATGACTAAAAGTGTAAAGTACTAGCGTTTCTGAGATAATGTCTCTCCAGCCTAGGGGACAGAATGATAAATTTGCTAGCAGAGGACAGGAGTTCTGCTTCGGGCTCTGTCACATATTACTTGTGTGACCTCCCTGGACCTCACTTTCTGCAACAGTAAAATGAGGGTATTGAAACTGTCAAATATGCCTGGCCCACAATAGTCCCAAGTGCTGTCAGAACCAGAATAAGATGTAATTGGGAAATATTTATCAAAATAAGTAAAAATACAAATAGATAATGGTAGTATGTGGTTTTCTAAATCAACATGCAGCCTGCAGGGATCCTTATGTATGTTTTAGTGGCCCCCATTTCTAATTGAGTTTGACATCACTGGACTGGGGCTTCTTAAAATTTATCCACTCATGACCTCTTTTCACTTGAGAAATTTTTACATAATCCCGGGTATATAGGTATACAAAATAGGTATACAAATCAAACATTTATTGATAATAAATCACAAAGAAATTTATTTTAAAATAATTCTTTGGTATATACATAATTTCACCATTTATTAAAGATGAAAGCAAATTAGCATACTAATGAGATGGATGTGCTTGTTTATTTTTACATAAAGAATTAAATCTTGGTAGAATATTTGATACTGCAGGACAGAGAGCATCTTCAATGTTTTTCAGAGTTGATCAATATTTTGATTTTATAATTGTCAATGCTGAGAATACCACTTCGCAGAAATATGTAGTACAAAACGGCAGAAGTATGTTTAGGACCATTTCAGAAATTGTTGGAAAGTCTGTCCTAATTCCAAGACAAAATTCATTTAATGATTTTTTAAGAAACTTAAATATTAAACCTGTGTTTAAACTCAGCAAATTCTTCTTGAACTTTTAATGGCAGATGACTGACTTTTTTAATTTCAGTTGAGTTTTTTAGAATCAAAATTTGAAGGAAAGTATTTCTGAAACTGTGCCTCCAGGTACTTCAGATGATCAATTACAACTCTTAGAATTAAATCTTTGGGAAATTTATTTTCAATTATGAAATCATCTGTAGCTGTAAACATTTCTGGAGAACCATTTTCCACCCTATTCTTCCATAAGTTAACTTTTTTAAATAAAACTTTCAATTTTACCTTTTAACATGAATATGTTACAATTTTTCCCTTGAAGCGAGGTGTTTAAATCATTGAGTTGTTTTTGAATATCCGACAAATAACAGTTTTGAAAGCCATAATTATGAAAAAATAACAAAATCAGATTTCTGCTCAGTCTTTTGACATATAACAACTTTCAATTTTAATAATCTGTTTAAACTTCACTCACTTAAGAGCCACTTTACCTCTGCATGTGCTTTTGTAATTGGAGCCCATGTCTTTCCAAAGGTTTGAAAATAAACAACTGTTAAGGATACAGCTTTGTATTGCAAAGCACAACATCTAACTCTGGTGATTTTTTGTTTGGCTACAAGTGCCTCCCGATGGATCCCACAGTGAGTAAAAGTGATATGTTCATTGCCACCAGCTTTAACTTTTGCTACAAATTCAACATGCTTGCCCATCATTGCTCCAGTACTGTCTGTACAGACTCCCGTGCAATTTTTGTACAGTAAACCTTCATTTGTGAAAAATTCATTTACTTTAAGATATATATCCTCTTCTCTTGTGTGCCCTTCCAAAAGGCAACAAAACAATAATTCCTCATGTATGCTTTCTTCATAAAGATATCTTACATAGAGTAACAACTGTGCCATATTAGAAATATCAGTTGTTTCATCTAACTGAATTGCAAACTTTGGGCTGCCCTTAAGCCTGTGGTAATAAGCTGCTGGAATTGGTCATTACTAATTTCAGAAATTCTTTTGGAAACAGGATCATTCAATAAAGGAATTTTATGAATTTCATCCCCATACTTTTTCTCATGAACTATTTCTGACATTTTAATAGCTGCAGGTAACATGAGACCTTCTCCTATTGTGTAATGCTTTTTAGTTTTTGCAATTAAATATGAAATTTCATAAGCTGCAAGTAAACACTTTTCATTGACAATAACAAATTTCCTAAAACACTGTTTTTCTTTATTTGAAGATTTTAAAAGTCATTCAAAATATTCCTTTGGTTTATTACAGTATGTTGCATGCTTGGTTTTAAGATGTCATTTTAGTTTGGCTGGTTTCATGCTCTCCACAACCAAAACTTCATTGCAAATTAAGCAAAGAGGTTTTTCCACACCATCATCATTATTAGAAGTAAATCTATGTTGTAAAAATGATTTGACACATTTTCTTTTTCTTGTCAATTTAAATATACTGCAACCTGGTAGCAAAGACTGCCACATTGCCCTCAGTATTTATACCTCTTCTGTCTAAATTTAGCCCCTTATGCATAACCAAAAAATATTTCTGTCCTAAAATATAAATGAACATTGCTAATAATTTCTCAAATAAATACTAGCTTTAGCTTATGAAATTACATTTGTTTATGCTTAATTTAAAAAATTGATGTTCACACTTACATATATGTACAGTGAAGAAATATTATTAAAAGGGCTTTTGTCTTTACTTGCTGCAATTAAACATTCATGTTTCTGTAAAAGAAGGAGATAGCAAGAATTTTTAGAATCAAACATTCTAACACAATACAATCCAAAGATATACTAATGTGATACATCCTGAGGAATGATGGTAGGAAAACACTAAAAGTATTTTCTGTAATTAAATTATTATGTTTCTGTAAGAGCATAAAACTTTGTATGTACAGTAAAAATACTGCAATTCATAACATACAACAGTTTCGAATCTCAGCCAAGGTGTTTCTGGCAGCATTCTTTGGCATTGTGTGGCATGACGGCATGCGCAGTGCAAAGTGTACATGTTGTGCATTCAGAACCAAGGCTGCAGTGAAATCGTGAGATACAACACAGGCAAGCTCTGCCAGAAACACCTTGGATTCATTACACATTCAATTTTGAATTAATTTTTGGTCGTTGAGTGCTCAGAAACCTTTTACTGTTGCCAATTTTTTCATAACCCCCACATTCAGTTACATGATACCATATGGGGTAGCAACCACAGTTTAAGCAGCTTGGGACTAGATGCCTTCTATAGTCTCTTCCTACCCTAAATCTATGATTCTATGAACTAGCTCATTCACCACTTTTTTGTTTTTTTAAAGACTGGGTCCTCCTATTTTGCTCAGACTGCAAGTGCTGAGGCTATTCCCACTATTGATGGGCACTGAAGATTTGCCCTATTCTATCACTAACAGTTCACCCCTTCATACGCACCCTCTGGCCCAATCCTGGGAGTTCCCCATATTAATGATGAAAATAATTTGAACACCCAAATGGCCAAGCCCACTGTAGCTCAGAACTCCTGAGTTTGAGAGATTACAACAGCTTCACCTTTCACTATAACAAGGATTTATAGGTCAGCACTCATTCACACTTCTTAAAGAGAAAGGGCCTTCTATTTTGGAAAAAGCACTAGCAAAATGTGAAAAAAGAGATCTGTCATCTAACTGAGACAGGAACAACTCTGTGTGATTCTATTTTTTACATTGCTTCAAATATTATTGGTAGTCAAGTGACATTTATAATAGTACTGTATTTGCCATATGTTAATAACACTATGTACAATTCCTACTGTGACAAGCTCTGTTTAGTATATTTGTTTAGACATTTTCTTCAGGGAAAAATACGCCTGAACATAGATTTTATTCTAACACTTGAAAATAACTTAAGAAAAAGCCAAGACATCCTAAAGAAGTCTTTTTTCTTAAACACATTAGAGAGAAATGACCATTTAAAATGAACATATTTGAAAATCCCTTTATATTACAGTAGGCTATGCTATAAACTTAATTACCACCAAGGTATTTCTAAGGCTGCTGGATACTACTAAAGATTTTTTTTAAATTTGGAAACTCTTAATTTTTATAAATTCATAGTAGCTACATTGCATTATTTATTCTCAAATATATTTTCCCCTGTATGTTTGCTATATTATCTATCTTCAAGGATCTAGTTTATTTGTTAGACTTGCTTTTATATTTCAGTGGCATAACAGTTTCATTGATGTGAGTCCTCTAACCAATGGAGATCACAACCGATACATGCCTTCTCATCCTATGAAACTCTTGACTATACTCTCCAATAAATCTTCCATCAGGAGATCACCAATATATTGTGTGTTTTCATCTAGAATGCCTTCTCTCTGAGATTATCCTCAACTTATCCTATATATATCTTGTTTGTACATAGTTGTTTTCATGTTGTCTTTTCCTAATACATTGTGATCTCCTTCAGGACGAGGCTGTTTTGCCTTTATTTGTACCCTTAGGACTTTTGCTCTATCTGATATATACAGCAGCTAGGTGGTGCTGTGGCACTGGCTCTCAGTCAGGAAGAACTGAGTTCAAATCTTGCCTTAGTATGTGGCCCTGGGAAAGTCACTTAACCTCCATTTACCTCCGTTTTATCATCATCATCAAAAAATAGCACCTACCTCCCAGAATTTTTATGAGGATGAGATAATATTCGCAAAGGATTTTGCACACCTTAAAGTATTATACAAATGCTACCTTTAGTAAGCACTTAATAAATGCTTATTGGCTTGATCTGATTCTAGATCTTTTGACATTGCATGAATACTACTAGAATATAAGGTCTATTGTCTATTATCCCTAATTCTCTTTAAGTAACTGGTCCATCTCCAATGTAAATCTCTTTGATATCTTTACATTCATGGTGTGAAGTTCTTTGATGTTAATATGTGATAACGTATTTAACCAAAACACATCTCTTCATTTAGGTGACCTGCATTTTTTACCTTCATAAACTATGGTATTCCATGATTAGTAACCAGACAACATCATAAAAAGAACATCAGAGTTGGTTTTTTTTTAAAGACATGTCTTTGTTTCAGGGAGAAACTTGATGTCATTAAAAAGTATTTTTGGTTTCTCAAATGAAAAATAAACAAATAAAAATAAACAAAATATCTACGTTCTGCATTAGTGTTTCAATGTATATTAAATGTAAGAATTCAACTTTTAGGTTGATTTTCATCTATTAGCAACTCATTGAGAGATGATGAAATAAAATTGTGGAGGAAGGATAGGGCTATTTCTCACACAAGACATTCCATCTCTCATCAATCTTTGCACAGATTGCTCCCCTGGAGTGTGCTCTCTCCTCATTTCTACCTCTCAGAATCCTTAGCACCCTTCAAAGATAAACTTGATGCCACATCCTACGTGAGTTCCTTTTGGATTTCCCCAAACACTAGTGCTTCCCCAATAATAGTTCCTCATATTTATTTACTACTTCCCATTAGTTCTAATTCTTCTATACATCATGACTAATGTGAAAATATGCTTAATATGAATATATAAGTAGAGCCTATATCAGATTACATGCCATGTTACTGAGGGGGAAGGAGAAGGAGGGAGAGAAAATTTAAAACTCAAAATCTTACAGAAGTGAATGTTGAAAACTAAAATAAATTATTTAAAAAAAGAAATGATTCACCTAAAGTATTTCCAAAGTCTGAGCAAGGGACTTAAGATGCTTCCCTAAAAAGGAAGACATCAACTTAACATATAAGGACTATAAGATAAGCTATAATTTTACCATATCTTTTTGTTTGTTTGTTTGTTTGTTTGTTTATTTGTTTGTTTTGGAGGCAATAAGGGTTAAATGACTTGTCCAGGGTCACACAGCTAGCTAGTAAGTGTCTGAAGTCAGATTTGAACTCAGGTCCTCCTGACTCCAGGGCCAGTGCTCTATCCACTGTGTCACCTAGCTGCCCCAATTTTACCATATCTGTCACAAGGATATGGTATAATGACAGAAGGTTTGGGGAACTAAAAAGGAATACTGATAAAGAAAAGTTGTATAGGTAAGAAAGTGTCAGTGTGTCTCCAGTACTTCTCTCCAGGGAAAGACTGTATCTGGCAGAAAGGAACATTCCAGGCATTTAAAAAGATGCCCTGTGAAGCAAGGATAATTCTCTACCATCTCTACCACATACAGAATGAATTATCCCTGAAGACTATCCAGTTCCCTTTTCTCTGATTTTTCACTCACCAAGTAACCTCCTCACTACAAAATCAATTTTCTAGAGACCTGGACACCAGCAAGGGCATGTCCTGCATAACAGTCATGAATACTATTGTCAATGGGAATGTCAAATCAGCAACAGTCCCCAAATTATGGCAATGCCACTAAAAACACACAGGATCAGAGGAGAGGCATAAGATTCTAATTCTCAAGGATTATTTTTAGCTTATGAGTGTTAATTCTAAAGCATCATTCTTCCTATTATCCTATCAGAGATTAGACAGACAGCTAGGTAGTACAGTGCATAGAGAGTGCTGGGCCTGGGGTGGGAAAGACCTGAGTTAAAATCCTGCCTCAGTCACTTATTTGCCATATGATCTCAGATAAGCCACTTAGCCCATTTGTCTCAGTTTCCTCATCTAGAAAATAAGGATAATAACAGCACCTACATCCCAGGGTTGTTGTGAGAATCAAATGGGATAATGTTTGTAAAGCACTTTTAGCAGCACAGTGCCTGGCATATAGTAGGTGCTATATAAATGTTAGCTATTATTATTATTATCATTATGTCTTTACAGATATAGAGCCACACACAAAGAGAAACTTAGTCGTATGTGATTATACTCTTACACAGAGGAAAACAACCAAGAGCATGCTGGCAAATGTTTAACTACCCTTCTCTGAAGAAAAAAAAACATATACCATATACTTTTAAGTTTTGCACTATTAGCATTTTCTTCATTACTTCCTTAAGTCTAGACAATCAACAAAATAACATATCAAGCCCAGCATTTGCTGATTTCTCAGGTGTAAATGTTCATATTGAAATTTTAACAATCAGCTGTCTTGAGCTAGAATGAGCTGTCTCGCACACCCCTGAGAACAACTCCAATTCTGTTGCTCAGTGGACTTTCCAAGACTTTGGCAACTTCTACAGTGGGTACCATGAAATCTAGTTCTTCTTTTCATAGGATTCTTTTAAGCTACAAAGTTCAAACAAATGTTTATTAGGGCTGCAATCACCCCTTTTCCATAGCCTCCCTCCCTTTAGATGTTTCAACCACACCTTTTTGGTCCTATACCTTCAATTGGTATAATGCCATTCATTCCTTTTTCTTTCTTTCTTTTTTTTTTTTGGTGCAGTTCTTTCAAATGGGCAGGGGTCAATTTTGTTTTTCTTATCTTGGCAAATCCCTGATTCAGCCTTTAACTGAGATAGATACCTTATATTACAAACCAACAAACACTTATAATAGTTCTTTAACCACTTTACTACACTTCTTGTAATCCTGTTGTTATAATAAGCCTTGCATTGGGCCTGCATCAGGAATCATGTCAAATGAGTACATACTGGAAAGTGGAAGGATGGAGCAGCTAAATGCAGAAGAATGGGCAGCTATGTGAAAAGGAACAGCAGGCAGGCAGCATGGACATGGAGAAGATAGTAGACATATGAAGAGAGAATAACAACCATATGTATCAGATAGAA